ATTACAGACCACTTAGACACTTCTGAAACATTGACACTTGTAGCCTTTCAGGGGAGGATAGTGAAGGGCAGGGAGTTGTAACCTCTTGGTGAACGATAGGGAGTTGCAACCTCTTGGTGAACGATAGGGAGTTGCAACTTCTTGGTGAACGATAGGGAGTTGCAACCTCTTGGTGAACGATAGGGAGTTGCAACCTCTTGGTGAACGGTAGGGAGTTGCAACCTCTTGGTGAACGATAGGGAGTTGCAACCTCTTGGTGAACGATAGGGAGTTGCAACCTCTTGGTGAACGATAGGGAGTTGCAACCTCTTGGTGAACGATAGGGAGTTGCAACCTCTTGGTGAACGATATGGAGTTGTAACTTCTTGGTAAACGATAGGGAGATGTAACCTCTTGGTGAACGATAGGGAGATGTAACCTCTTGGTGAACGATAGGGAGTTTCAACCTCTTGGTGAACGATAGGGAGTTGCAACCTCTTGGTGAACGATAGGGAGTTGCAACGTCTTGGTGAACGATAGGGAGTTGCAACCTCTTGGTGAACGATAGGGAGTTGCAACCTCTTGGTGAACGATATGGAGTTGTAACTTCTTGGTAAACGATAGGGAGATGTAACCTCTTGGTGAACGATAGGGAGATGTAACCTCTTGGTGAACGATAGGGAGTTTCAACCTCTTGGTGAACGATAGGGAGTTGCAACCTCTTGGTGAACGATAGGGAGTTGCAACCTCTTGGTGAACGATAGGGAGTTGTAACCTCTTGGTGAACGATAGGGAGTTGCAATCTCTTGGTGAACGATAGGGAGTTGCAACCTCTTGGTGAACGATAGGGAGTTGCAACCTCTTGGTGAACGATAGGGAGTTTCAACCTCTTGGTGAACGATAGGGAGTTTCAACCTCTTGGTGAACGATAGGGAGTTTCAACCTCTTGGTGAACGATTGGGAGTTTCAACCTCTTGGTGAACGATAGGGAGTTGCAACCTCTTGGTGAACGATAGGGAGTTGCAACCTCTTGGTGAACGATAGGGAGTTTCAACCTCTTGGTGAACGATAGGGAGTTGTAACCTCTTGGTGAACGATAGGGAGTTGCAATCTCTTGGTGAACGATAGGGAGTTGCAACCTCTTGGTGAACGATAGGGAGTTGCAACCTCTTGGTGAACGATAGGGAGTTTCAACCTCTTGGTGAACGATAGGGAGTTTCAACCTCTTGGTGAACGATAGGGAGTTTCAACCTCTTGGTGAACGATAGGGAGTTTCAACCTCTTGGTGAACGATAGGGAGTTTCAACCTCTTGGTGAACGATAGGGAGTTTCAACCTCTTGGTGAACGATAGGGAGTTTCAACCTCTTGGTGAACGATAGGGAGTTGCAACCTCTTGGTGAACGATAGGGAGTTTCAACCTCTTGGTGAACGATAGGGAGTTGCAACCTCTTGGTGAACGATAGGGAGTTTCAACCTCTTGGTGAACGATAGGGAGTTTCAACCTCTTGGTGAACGATAGGGAGTTTCAACCTCTTGGTGAACGATAGGGAGTTTCAACCTCTTGGTGAACGATAGGGAGTTTCAACCTCTTGGTGAACGATTGGGAGTTTCAACCTCTTGGTGAACGATAGGGAGTGCCGCTAATCCTCCGGTTAATTTTTTAATGACAATTCCAAATGCTGACACATGATCATAATTAATTAAAGAGAGTTTACCGCTCCTTATAGCAGTAACAATCCACTAATTTTTCACACACTAGGTCTATAGATCCAGGCCTTAAATCATGGATAATCTATTTTAATATATAAGCCTCGTGCATCTCATTTGAAAATGTTCCCAAAACAAGGGGCTGCTTATTTATGGTAGATTAAACATTGAACATTGCATCTATTATAAACTGATAAACAACATTTATGGTATATACTGCCACTTGACTGTGACAATCACTACCCGTTGTGATGTAATACATAATAACGTTGAATGTCGATATTTATGATATCAGTTCCTGTTGGAGCAAGTAAGAGACTTATCAAGTGGTAAGTGAGCCACTTCCCCCGCTAAGTGCCAGGCAACACAGTGTATATACCTCGACAGGTGTATATCTCTCAGTGTATATACATAGAGACTTTTATCTCCATATGAGGGATTAAATTATTCATGACTGGCGATAAAGAGGTTACATATTTACTTAACTCTCACGTAGTCGAAAGCCTTTAAACCCAACGAGCCAATCAACCAGGCTGTGATGGATACGTAGGCCAGTGGAGAGCATAATAGGGTAAAAAGACTCTCAAAGCAGATTGCAGTTGCAGCACAGGAAAATATTAGACAAAACTCAAATATCTGAATAGATTTACCATTGAGCAAACACCGAGAATGGAAAGCTTTTAACAGCACCTTTCCTTGCACATATATTTTTCACCTCTGGGAAAGGAATAATGTTTTTCTTTCGCTGATGTATGTACACTTATATAATAAATAATTTTGTAGCAATACGTCAAGTTAAATGTTGGTGGTACAGTACTGCCTCAGTGTTGGTAATACTGCCTCAGTGTTGGTAATACTGCCTCAGTGTTGGTAATACTGCCTCATCAGTGTTAATACACCCTCAGTGTTGGTAATGCTGCCTCAGTGTTCGTAATGCTGCCTCAGTGTTCGTAATGCTGCCTCAGTGTTGGTAATGCTGCCTCAGCGTTGGTAATACTGCGTCAGTGTTGGTAATACAGCCTCAGTGTTGGTAATACTGCCTCTTTGTTGGTAATACTGCCTCAGTGTTGGTAATACTGCCTCAGTGTTGGTAATACACCCTCAGTATTGGTAATACTGCCTCAGTGTTCGTAATACTGCCTCATCAGTGTTGACAATACAGCCTCAGTGTTGGTAATACTGCCTCAGTGTTGGTAATACTGCCTCAGTGTTGGTAGTAACATCACTCTCTCAGCGAGGCCACTTGATATTATGGGCAACAAACGAAGCTCCTGGGGCAGCCCTATCGTGGAAGAGACTTCTGCAGTTATGAAAGTGGATACAAGTTCCCAGGAGATCGCCTACCTTTTAGCTGTGAGTGCACGTCATTTATCAGACTTTCTTCTAACAGTTTCATCTCTGCGACTGACACACGTCTCGACCCCCAGTCTCTTAAGAATTACAGTGGCTCTCCACCTCAGTACAAGAGGATTTGCAGTGAAATTTTAACTGATATCTGTACACTGCCTGAGCTAATCTGTCCTGCTCCATAGGATTTGATCAGCAGCTGGTTGCTGCTGATGAGATCCTCTCAAGGAAGGTTACTGAACACTTACAAACCACGGAACGGGTGGGGTTTAAACTCATGACTTATAAAAGCCTGTTGTTAGGTAAGACATATATGGAACAGTTAGGTATCTTTATTTCGAAACGTTTCGCCTACGCAGTAGGCTTCTTCAGTCGAGTACAGAAAAGCTGATAGAAGCAGAAGATACTTGAAGACGATGTAATCAGTCCATCACCCTTAAAGTTTTGAGGTGGTCAGTCCCTCAGTCTGGAGAAGAGCATTGTTCCAGGTTTATAAAAGCCTCTTGACTGAGTTACACCTGACCTCCCCTGTATAACTCCTACTGGTTTAGAGCTCAGGAAAAACCCCGGCACTAGAGCTCCACTCGCTGCCACTTTCCTCTTCAGTAATTAATGGAGAGTGCCTCTACTGGTATGTATCTTTGGCACCAAGGCAATTCTTAGCAGTAAAAATGTATGAGTGGAGTCAGGTTTAGATTTTATTACCTGGGTTTAATCCTACCTTGTTTTATTGTATATCAAGTGTATTAGTTGGTTTATATCTGAAGCAGAAAGTTTGCAAGATGTTAAACATTAAAAAGAACAGTAACAAGTCTAATATTCAACCTTCAAGATTGGGAAGGATGGGCAGGATGTGGCAGGATGGGCAGGATGGGCAGGATGTGGCAGGATGGGAAGGATGGGCAGGATGTGGCAGGATGGGCAGGATGTGGCAGTATGGGAAGGATGGGCAGGATGTAGCAGTATGGGCAGAATGTGGCAGTATGGGAAGGATGGGCAGGATGTGGCAGGATGGGCAGGATGTGGCAGTATGGGAAGGATGGGCAGGATGTGGCAGGATGGGCAGGATGTGGCAGTATGGGAAGGATGGGCAGGATGTAGCAGTATGGGCAGAATGTGGCAGTATGGGAAGGATGGGCAGGATGTGGATTGCTTTCAGAGAAGGAAAGTATATTCACCATCAACCTCTAGCATCTTTTTTCAGATAATAAATAATACTATGATCATCCCATATCATTCACCGTACTTCTATCTTCCCAAAACTCGATGTCAACCAGATTACCGGAAAGTCTTCACAGCTAATATTTTGCAAATATTCTCAATAATATTCTCAAAACTAGGAGGAGGAGGCCCATTGGTCGCTGTTTTGGAAGCCGCGTCACAACCACGTCATAACCACGTCACAGTCACGTCACAGTCAGGTCATAACCACGTCACAACCACGTCACAACCACTCTGCTCCTTCCTGTTGTTCACTGATGGTTCCATCTCGGCGGAATTTGTCTTCCAGGTAAACAAAAAATACTTTTTTCTCTCTTGTTCAAGTGTTCAGACGAACAACTTTCTTCATCAATAAGTTTTTTAAGTTTTCAATTCTATTTATATATTAAGACATTTTTTTTATTTTTTTTTAAACTTTTGAAAGTATTAGAAAGTTTAGAATGTTCTCGTATTGAACTTTGAACATTATTGGAAAGTTATCAAGCTAATAATACAATAGATGACTCGGGTGAAATATACTGTGCTAATTATTAGATAATTCAAATTGTTAAACATGTTTAGTGTCTCATTTACCATACACACATTACAACACATTAAAACATACACATACACTCTCATACACGCATCCCTTCTCGAGAACTTAATTTTTCTTAGAGTGCAGTAAGGTGTTTCGAAGCGTGCAAATATTCCATGTTTCAAATTTCAGGTTTTTGGCGAATTTCGGTTCTATTTAGGAGTGTTCGAGGTGGCTGTGCTCGGGCAGGACGCTAACGAAACGCAGACACGGCTTTCACGGGTGGTAGCGCAGGCTCGGTGGGTACGTTTTTCCTACGTTACTACTGAGAAGGCTAGAATAATAATAATAATCATAATAATAATTCGTGTTAAGCCCTAAAGACATGTGGGTCATTTAGCCTTCAACGACTGCCATGTTGACATCAACAGCTGCGGCAGGAGTCGTGGTGCGTGACGGTGGTGGTGGTGAGTGACAACGCAGACTTCCTCGCCACCTTCGCTGAGTGTTCCCTCAAGGGCCGCCTCCTGGTGTGGTCGACGAGGCTCCTCGCCGTCACCAGCCTGCCTCTCCTGCAGCTGCAGCAGCTCCTGAGCACCCACTGGACATTCTCCATGATGAATGCTGCTTTCCTCAACAAGGATGACATCAAAGGCTTCATCAGGTATACTGTTTGAAATGTGGAATGTTATTTTTTGCTGATATATAAACACAAAAGATCGTTTTGAATTACGATAGGTTCATGTAGGTCACTAATGCTACACTGGGAGACAAACTTCTAGGCATATATACACTGAAAGATAGAGTATACCAGTGAAAAACTCTGATTCCACTGAATTTACGCTGGGAGATATAAATCTCTAGATATATGTTCTGGAAGAGTATACCCCTCGCAATGCAAATATAACGAGAAGTATATATACACCGAGAGAAATACACCTCAGCATATATACACTAAAAAATAATTTAGATATATGCACCAGTGGGAGTATATAACCTGTATGCACCATCTTATTAAGTGTATATTCGTTTTCATATGGTGTTGGTATCGCAGATGGTCGTTGTACATCTATCAGCCATACACCGACACGGGAGTACAGACGCACAGAACTGCATCATGGACGCCTCGGAGAGGATTACAGCTGTATTCCACATTACCCTTATTCCCAGAGAAGTACATGAAGTTAGTAACATATGAGTGCATCATTTTGCATTTCTGCAACACTACATTCGGTCGTTGCATGTGTTACTTCTGTTTTTTGTTCTGCAAACGCTTCGCGTTCCCTCATTGCATGCTTGCCTCACCTTCGTTCTACATAACTATTAAGTTTATGGAAAACGTTAAGCCCGTATCAGCCAGTCATGTGTATTTTCCGACAATATCACACTTAGTCATTGTATGTATACATTCTCATTATTCAACAACAGTCTTACACTGCTATTTAACGTCACATAGTTACGTAACTTGCCAATACCAAACTAACTATAAATTGCCCTAGCAACCAACAAATGACTTAAGTTCTCGACTTTTCCCCACATGAGAAAGAAGAGAGTCACCCCGGTCCATACTGACGATAAACCAGAAGTTGGTAATATCCGAACACTAATATTAAGCGCTTCAGTAGGACTGGAAACCATATAAACTTCCGAACACTAATATTAAACGCTTCAATAGGATTCGAAACCTTACAAACTTTCTCTTACATTCAGTTTATGCTCTTTTTTTTTTCTTGCCTGGTTTTTTTAAAAGCTTTTATTTATATTTATAATTTTTATTATTTATAATACAATTAGTAAAATTCTTCATATTATTTTAGAATATTATAAAATCAATGAGTTATTATAATTGTGTAACGGAAAAAATTCATTAAACCAATATTGTACGATTATTAATTATTATTATTATCATTACTGTTATTAATATTACTACTACAGTACCACTATTGGTACTAATAATAATTTTACTGCTACTACGAATAATAATTATTATTATTTTTACTAATACTACTTCTACTAATAATAATAATGTGGCTAAAGCGTTGGTCTGGAGTTTTATGACTCTCTGACCGCGGGTTCTATCCCCACCTGTGGTATGGTTTCTCTATATGTTATTTTTAAGTACCTAATAAGTATTATTATCATATAGGTAAATGTAATTATCAAAGAAAATAACATTGCAACTCCTCACCGAAATGATGTGAATATAAAAATCTTCTTTTGAAGTTATTTGTTCCTTAGATCTTGTCTAAGATTATGTACTCATAGCAGCTTTATTGGTGAATAAACTTGTCATTATCGTATTCTTTCTATTTTGCCTTCCAAATGGGGATTGATTTAAAAAAGAAATATTTGATAATTCTTAAAATAATTTGTAATGGCTTCGATAATATTCCGTGTTACCAACTTGGTGAGTTTTCTTGTATCGTTGTACAGGTTAAGATGTGTTATCCAACCTCAGCTTATTTGTTGGTTGAGAGGTGTTATCCAGCCTCAGCTTATCTTATTTGTTGGTTGAGAGGTGTTATCAAACCTCAGCTTATTTGTTGGTTGAGACGTGTTATCAAACCTCAGCTTATTTGTTGGTTGAGACGTGTTATCCAACCTCAGCTTATTTGTTGGTTGAGATGTGTTATCCAGCCTCAGCTTATTTGTTGGTTGAGAGGTGTTATCCAACCTCAGCTTATTTGTTGGTTGAGAGATGTTATCCAGCCTCAGCTTATTTGTTGGTTGAGAGGTGTTATCCAGCCTCAGCTTATTTGTTGGTTGAGAGGTGTTATCCAGCCTCAGCTTATTTGTTGGTGAGAGTGTTATCCAGCCTCAGCTTATTTGTTGGTTGAGAGGTGTTATCCAGCCTAAGCTTATTTGTTGGTTGAGAGGTGTTATCCAGCCTCAGCTTATTTGTTGGTTGAGAGGTGTTATTCAACCTCAGCTTATTTGGTGGTTGAGAGGTGTTATCCTACCTCAGCTTATTTGTTGGTTGAGAGGTGTTGTCCAGCCTCAGCTTATTTGTTGGTTGAGAGGTGTTATTCAACCTCAGCTTATTTGGTGGTTGAGAGGTGTTATCCAACCTCAGCTTATTTGTTGGTTGAGAGATGTTATCCAGCCTCAGCTTATTTGTTGGTTGAGAGGTGTTATCCAGCCTCAGCTTATTTGTTGGTTGAGAGGTGTTATCCAGCCTCAGCTTATTTGTTGGTTGAGAGGTGTTATCCAGCCTCAGCTTATTTGTTGTTGAGAGGTGTTATCCAGCCTCAGCTTATTTGTTGGTTGAGAGGTGTTATCCAGCCTCAGCTTATTTGTTGGTTGAGAGGTGTTATCCAGCCTCAGCTTATTTGTTGGTTGAGAGGTGTTATCCAGCTCAGCTTATTTGTTGGTTGAGAGGTGTTATCCAGCCACAGCTTATTTGTTGGTTGAGAGGTGTTATCCAGCCACAGCTTATTTGTTGGTTGAGAGGTGTTATCCAGCCTCAGCTTATTTGTTGGTTGAGAGGTGTTATCCAGCCTCAGCTTATTTGTTGGTTGAGAGAGTGTTATCCAGCCTCAGCTTATTTGTTGGTTGAGAGGTGTTATCCAGCCTCAGCTTATTTGTTGGTTGAGAGGTATTATCCAGCTTCAGCTTATTTGTTGGTTGAGAGGTGTTATCCAACCTCAGCTTATTTGTTGGTTGAGAGGTGTTATCCAACCTCAGCTTATTTGTTGGTTGAGAGGTGTTATCCAACCTCAGCTTATTTGTTGGTTGAGAGGTGTTATCCAACCTCAGCTTATTTGTTGGTTGAGAGATGTTATCCAGCCTCAGCTTATTTGTTGGTTGAGAGGTGTTATCCAGCCTCAGCTTATTTGTTGGTTGAGAGGTGTTATCCAGCCTCAGCTTATTTGTTGGTTGAGAGGTGTTATCCAACCTCAGCTTATTTGTTGGTTGAGAGATGTTATCCAGCCTCAGCTTATTTGTTGGTTAAGAGGTGTTATCCAGCCTCAGCTTATTTGTTGGTCGAGAGGTGTTATCCAGCCTCAGCTTATTTGTTGGTTGAGAGGTGTTATCCAATGTCAGCTCATTTACAGGGTAACAGTTATCAACCTTGTCTGCTTTACAGGGTAACAGTTGCTATCAATCTCGACTCATTTACAGGTCTCAGCTCATTTACTAGTTAAGAGTTGTCATTCAGCTTCAGCCAGGCTTGAAGCCGAGGCCTGTCACAAGTGTACTGTTTCCCCTCACGTCAAGGGTACGACCCATTACAGTCTGCTAACCCATGGGTATATTGTTTTTGTTAGGTGAAAAGAGGCAACAGGGGAGCAGAGGCAACAGGGGAGCAGGGGCAACAGGAGAACAGGGGCAACAGGGTCAACAGGAGAACAGGGGCAACAGGAGAGCAGGGTCAACAGGAGAACAGGGTCAACAGGAGAACAGGGGCAACAGGAGAACAGGGCCAACAGGAGAACAGGGTCAACAGGAGAACAGGGGCAACAGGAGAACAGGGGCAACAGTAGAACAGGGTCAACAGGAGAACAGGGTCAACAGGAGAACAGGGGCAACAGGAGAACAGGGGCAACAGGAGAACAGGGGCAACAGGAGAACAGGGGCAACAGGAGAACAGGGGCAACAGGAGAACAGGGGCAACAGATGTAGGTAAACAATCTCATTTTTTTAATTATTAAACGTAGTTTTTTCTGCATATTATGCGTTACGTTTGCTTTTCTAACTGTCGGAACTTGGATAATATTGTAATAACAGGGCCTTTAGTTAGGGTGAAATCATCGATGATCAAATTCTCCTTTAAAGAATAAAGAGCCACAATACCATGGCTGGAACAGTATACCAAAAATATTCACTTAGGAGACGAACCTTATTACCACTCCTCTTTATTTCGTCGTGGACGACAGTGGAAGACAAGAAAGCTCTTTCCTAAGCTTTCCTAATCTCTATGTCAACGTCACTCCTAAACACAGATTATGTAACTCTGTATGATTAACATTTACCTGGCATGTTAATACATCCCAATAACTTGTCTATGGCAGCGATATTACCTTCATGATTTCTCTTTCAGTTTACGAGTTCTTGATTTCCGTGTTATGTCAAAAAGACGGGAACTCAACTGAGACCTTCAAGAAGTGAACAATATCTTAATTATCATAAAGCTCTGGTGCTGAGTGGAACGAGTCTGGGTGTAAATCCAGTTCTTAGAGAATGCATTATCTCACATACAGACCTGGGTTATTTTGCATGCGTGTTTATTTTCAAATATAGCTAATCAGTCTTCCAATCATTATTTTACACTTTACGTGAAGTGCCGAAGTGGGTGCGATATAGTTCCTCTGTTAGGGTACTTTTCACCGACCTGCTGTCAGTTCAGTGTATATTTCATGGTCATGGTGGCATTAACCTCACGTTTTAAATATATTAAAGATGTGACCTAACTGCGAATTTTGCATCGTAAGTATGTAAGCTAATATTTACTTCACAATTATCATGGACTAAGGAGAGAAAGCATATGGGGAGGCTACGATTCGTCCAGGACCACAGTGACTTGACAGAGTGGTTCATGCGGGTTCGAAACGTCGTCGTAATCTACCTCTCCAAAGTTCAAGTTATTTGTGACTTGTTCTAGTCATGATATAGTGATATTTTTATTCTCAACGTCTTACATTTTTTTGCATGTTCTCAGTGGCAAAATACTGCCTCAAAGAAAAACACCTCTTCTCTCTAGCTTCCACGGGACAGTGGTGAACGTAACAGCTCTTCCTTATACACCCCACTGGGTGGAAGAGACGGTCCGGGCAACTGACGGTACACTAACCAAGAAGTACACAGGTATGGACTACTTACTCCTGGCCACCATAGCCCACACTCTGAACTTCACTATCAACGTCCTTCCCACTGACAGCTGGGATGAGGTGTGTAGACACTCACCTGGCGTATTCATTGCATAAATACTTACACATTTAAATCTACTGTTTCTTACACCTTGAGAAAAATGTTAAGGATCCTCTGTATTGGTATTATATTTAATAATAATAGCAGCAACAATAGAAGATTTAATTCCTATTTAAGGGTGTCAAGTATTGTTTAGTGGTGGTGCACAGGTGGTATGCAGCCTTAATGACGTTAGTATAATGGACAGACTAAGACTAATATGCCAATTAACCCCTGGAATATATATAATGGCGAAAGGCAATACACCTTTAGTTACGTAAGGTTGACAAGCAATACACTTTTTTTCCGGAACCTATGTAATGGTATTTGAATGGTTATTTGAAGGTTGCGAGGCGGGTGGAGGAGCGTGTATCATACATGGCAACGGTGTTCCACAATGTGTTGCCACAGCGCCTCGAGAGGTACGATTTCTCCTTCACGTATGAATACGGGTCCCTGGACTTCTGCGCTGCTAAGCCGGCCTTAAAACCACAGTGGCAGTCTCTCTATTATCCTCTCTCTGACGGTGTCTGGCTCTCTGTCCTTGCAGCGGTCATCATCATGCCATTTGTATTCTATATGGTAAGAGTTAACATATGCATTTTATTTTTTATATTATTATTATTAATATTATGTTAACACGCTGGCTGTCTTCCACCGAGGCAGGGTGACCCGAAAATGACACACTTTTACCATCATTAATACTATCACTGTCTTGCCAGAAGTGCATATATTCGACAGTTTAAATGTGTAAACAGTAAATATCCCAAACGTCTCCCTAAGAGTGCAGGCACTGTACTATCCCACCTCTAGGACTCAAGTCTGGCTAACCGGTTTTCCTGAACCCCTTTACAAAATATTACCATGCTAACACTCCAACAGCTTATCAAGTCCCCCCCCCAAAAAAAAAAACATTAGTCTACTCCTATCTAGCTCACTCACACATGCCTGCTGTATGTCTAAGCCCCTTGCATACAAAACCTCCTTTATCCCCTCCCTCCATAACACACGGGTCCTTCGGAGATACGGAGAGGCGAGGTTTGGGGCGGGTGTAAAACCGAAGTCAAGGATGATACAGTAGGTTAATGTCCTTAAAGAAAAAAAAGTGCCTACATTGAGCGTGGGACTTTCAGCGAGGAGGTCAGTTAGAATGAGTGCATCAGGGATGTGTCCATGTAGGGAGTGAACCCTGCGTGTTCTTTGATAGCCTATTAATATATAGTTAACTATTAAAGCCACCAGTGCAGAGAGGCGCTGGTGGGTTTAAATAATTAATTTAAGGTTTTTACTTACGCAGGTTTTGCGGGGGTAAGTCTTTAGGTGATTTACGGTAAAAATATATAATAAATTTTGTACGATAAAGAAACTATTATAATATTTAGGTATTAATGCATAACCATGTTGGATATCCATATATTATCGTATTATTATTGAGTCTGTGTTTCTCTTTATATAGGTAAATGTGGTGGGATGTATGAGCACCGATAACAGCAAGACAAGTGTTGTAACTGTCTTCCAGTTAGTGATAACACCCTTGCTCTCTCAGCCCTTGACTAAAGAGCTCTCGAGCGCCACTTCGAATCGGCTGTTGCTGGTGACTTGGCTGGTGTTCGCTTTCCTCGTTGGCAACGTCTACAGAGGCAACCTGACAGCCGCTCTCACCCTGCCCAAGTACCCACCCAGAGTGGAAACCGTCGAACAGTTGGTTAAGACTTTCCCTCGGTATGGACTACTAAATCTCCGGATATTTTTATTTAGACTGCCAGAATTTATAATATTTAAGGCACCACAAGGAAATTTTGACTAAATTTTCTTTTTAAAATTTCAGAATTACCATGCCGCCATTTGGAGACGAATTTATTAAATTCTTCAAACAGTCGAATTCGATTCTGTACAAGTCTCTTGCCGAACATATGACGATCGTCCCCACTGTCATAGATGGGTTGCAACAAGCCAAAGACAAAAAGTGAGTTAGAGGAAATTTATTCACAATGGACACAAAAAATATTACAGTATATAAGGGAAATTTAATAGTAATTTACGCTTTTATCTGTGTGTGTGTGTGTGTGTGTGTGTGTGTGTGTGTGTGTGTGTGTGTGCGCCTCTGGGGACGATCATCTTCATTGTGTCTTGGGGTAATAATGTGAAGATTTACTCCACAGCGTGGTTGTCTCAGTGGGAATGTTTATGATATCTGGGAGGAGTTGGTCTACTTCACGACTCAGAGGAAAAAATATCTGTATTGTCTGGCGAATTTCTATTTCTCCCAGAGAAAGTCGCATCTTTGCTGCGACCAGCTGAAAGAAAAGAAAAAAAACATGGAAATGCTCACGAACGGCTCTCAGGACCTAGACTCTCTGCATGAGACGTTACTTGGGAGATCCCAAAGCCTAGTTTGGCAGAATCAAACTGGCTGCTTCAGTGCATTTATTTCCGACTGCCGCTTTGGCAACCAGATGGATAGAGGTATTATCAACAGCGAAGAGCTTGGGTCTCCAGTCCCTTTTTCAAAACACATTATGATGCATCTAAAAAAAATGTTTTTTTTTTTTAACTCTTAAGATATCAGCTCAGCCAGACGGACGTTGTTATCATAGAAGGAATGATCTCTGTAGCTGCACCAACAAGCACTGGTTTAACCATCTTTTTGACATGCGGCATGTAATGAGAATTCCTTAATGAACATTTAATTCTTGAAAAATAGGGTCATCAGTAGAATTGTTATTGGTAATATTAGCCTTTCTAAGTGGGTGCTATTCCCTTATTATCTGAACTGCGGCAGCGTCTCTGTGGGTGATTGTATCATATGGATAACACGTATTAATTTCCTGAGATGGAAAAGAATTTAAGAAGAGTATAGTATAATAAAAAAGAAGCGCTAAACCACAAGGGCTATACAGCTAAGAAGAGTATAATAAAATAAATAAAAACATGAGTGGTTCGGTCTAATTCATACATAGCGTTTATTTTCAAAAATGTTTTTTTTCATCAGAACATCTAAGCCAGTGGCACTGTTTGCAGGGAGGCACATGTGGGTGGGCGCCGATACATGGAGCAAATGATAGCTAGCTACTTCAGCCAGGCAGACGGCACCACTGATCTGTACGTGGGCAGGGAGAGCATCCTGCCTGGGATATCAGCTTGGCCCATCCCACACGATGCTCCCTACACACAACAGATTAATCGTCTCATGATGGCCGTTGTTGAGGTATGTTGAAGACATTTGATGAAGAATTTTTTTTTTTTCAAGGATAAATATAGCTTTAGGTAACTTTTCGGCCTATCGTGGACCATTATCAAGTCAAGATTGAGAGAAAAAAGTTGTAGTGATTTGATAAAGATCCAGAATAGACGTAAAGGTCAAATGAAAATTATTCTTTTCAATTTGTGTTGTGACTTATTTTGCTGTGCCTTTCTCCATGTCTCTTTCTTCCTTTCTCCATTCCCCTCTTTCTCCTACTCACCAAACATTTTTTTTCCTCTTTTTTCCTTCAGTGTGTTACTTTCTTCTATCATTTCAACGCAGTTTGTTAGCTAAATAACTGCAAAGAATAGTTAATTCTACTGGATATTTCCCTGATGCACTGACTGACTCAGCATCATCAGTAACAACTCTCTGACCAGAGATATTTTGCACCCAGTTTCAGTACTCGCATTTTTCACTACCTTCTGTAAGAGAATTTGGATTAAACTGCAAAAAATATTGTCCTCATTGATATATAATTAAATTTTAACACAGCTAAATATAAAAAGGAAATAAATGCAGAATCACCGACATTGTGTCGGTAATTCTAGGTAACGGCTTGACAAAACTGGAGAGCGAAACGTTGCCACAGCAAAACGTCACATTACTTGTATAAACATAAATGTATATAGTAGCCAGATATTTAAAAAATGTAAATTACGAATGCTACTGCGTATATAGTTTTCATTAGCGATGGATCACGTATATGTTTGCTCTAACAGGCTGGCTTGTATGAGAAATGGAATCAAGATATGCTGACAGCAGCCAGAAAGAAGAGTCGCATGAAGCAGAGCGAACAAGAGAAGGAAGATGATTCACAGCAGCAAGTAACGTCGCTTGGAGACCAGGATACACAGTCTGACAACAGGATCGGTGCCCTGAACCTAGTTCACATGCAAGCTCCTTTTATATTGCTGTTGTTGGGTTTTGTTATTGGTAGTATTTTGTTTATTACTGAGGTAACTGCCGGTCTTTGTCACTAGCATATATGCTAGAATTAGGAGATTTTTTCTAAGCACATGTGTTACGTGTGGCAGTAAGATCATGCTGTGTTTATCCAGGATATCCACTAGCTACTTTCTTTTCTCACATATCCGGCGTTTGTATGTTCAGCAGACGGTGTTTCGTTGTTCTTTAACTCGGCAGAATAGCCGTACCTACATTAGTGTTGCACCTCTTGCTCGGAGTTTCTTGAAAATGCTCATCCTTTATGCTTAAATTAGATCTAGTAGCCTCTGTTTTCCAAGAGAAGAGAGATTATGGATTTTGAGTATTTACAAGGTTCGTTTCTTAATGAAGATATGAGAGAGAGATAGAAATAGAGAGAGAAAGAAGGAGAAAGTAGAAAGTTAACCAATCAAATTAAAATTTTTGCCTGAAGGTGACCTAAACTAAATTCAACATAGTATATGTATGTTATTATACAAATTATTATGAAAGGATTTATAAATCAATCTTCACACAAAAGTAAACACAGAATGTTCCAGAGATGGGACACAGTAACAAGGGGACACAGCTGGAAGTTGAAGACACAGATGAATCACAGGGATGTTAGGAAGTATTTCTTCAGCCACAGAGTAGTCAGGAAGTGGAATAGTTTGGGAAGCGATGTAGTGGAGGCAGGATCCATACATAGCTTTAAGCAGAGGTATGATAAAGCTCACGGTTCAGGGAGAGTGACCTAGTAGCGACCAGTGAAGAGGCGGGGCCAGGAGCTTGGACTCGACCCCTGCAACCTCAACTAGGTGAGTACAACTAGGTGAGTACTACTTACTATGTACTAAATAAGAAAACAAAAACAAAATGAAAACTAAGAGTAAATTATTTTTTGTCTTAAAACAGTCTTGTCGAAGAGAAGGAAAATATAATCCTACTCACAACCATATATTTTTTTGCATGAATAAAATAGGAAATTATGCGACTAGCAGTGTTAAAAAAGGACTATGATATGACCTTCCTGATTAATATAAAAATATAATAAACCTCTAACTAATCCGACATGATACAAACAGGTGGAAAAAAATATCACTAGAATAACTGATCTTAAGACATGTGCAAGACGTGATTGCATTATGTTGATTTTTCAACTTACATTAATGTCTGTGGAAACCTTGTGCTGTATATGTTATTTTTTCTGAAATCACTGGTTCTTGCAGCTCGTTGAGATAATGTGCAGAGTCTTCGTCCATGACTTTAATCTCTTCTAATTACTTTAATTTCAGGAAAAGGGCCTTAATTTGAGGCTGAAATATACAATAGCATGCATATATATATATATATATATATATATATATATATATATATATATTATATATATATATATATATATATATATATATATATATTATATATATATTAATTATTATTATTATTGTAATAACGAGCGAGTGGTATTGATCAATAACAACACTGCGCTAGCCAAGGATTCGAACCCATGTTGTACTGGCCTGCCTCATGGTAAGCGAGAACCACATGACGATTATATTATATATATATATATATATATATATAATATATATATATATATATATATATATATATATATATATATATATATGTAACCTTTTAATGGTTGACAGTTATTTATGAAAGTTAAAATGAATAATAAATTTTGTACTAACTTTAAATATTAAGTTAAAAACTGTGCTTTTCAATCGATAATTATATTAACGTCATTTAAGCTGCAATTAACCTGTATATTTTATATTTTGCATCAACACGTGAGTCATTTAGATTGAATATAAATTCATCACCACTCAAGAATGCTGTCACTCCTGAAATAAAAATTAATATAAACTCTCAGCGTATATATTCAGAGACAACTACTGAAGATGTGTATATAAGCACATGAAAGCGCTAAGGTTTTATTTCCTATTTTCATTGTGGTATTTTTTTCCATATTTGCACTCATTCATTTTATTGTGATTTCTTCCATAATGAGAAATGTACATCTGTTTATATATATATATATATATATATATATATATATATATATATATATATATATATATATATAACAAACTTAGTAACCTAATTTAACCTTGTTAAAATTAGCGCAGTTATGGGAAAATATATAATTTCTATTATTTTAGACTATAAATTCAGTCCATATTTAAATTTATACATAATTTTCAAGGTGGGAAAAAAAACCTGCCACTACAGATTTCTAGGTTGGAAAACTACTTTGTTCAAGTGTTTCTTTACGTCCGGTGAACTTGTCTGTGACTCACTACTCCTCAAAGGTCAGATGCTACTCACCCGTCAGTATTAACCTACCATTCTCACTTAATTTGTACTACTGTTGCCTAAGTGAGCTTCGAGACCCTCGCACCCTCATATTACCTTCTCAATAATTCTTCGTCATCTCCGTTTTGTGAAGAGTTTTGTGTATGTGGAATCTCTTTGTTCCTCCCTGACTCCTCCCTATTATTCACCTATGAGAGGAAAGGTTACAGGTGGAAGCTGGTGGAGGTTGTCACTCAAGACGCATGCTCAGGAGAGTATTATCTTACCGCTCATGCTCAGTAGGAGAGTAATAGCTGAGTACACATGCGCATGATGGCGCGGAACAGAGATCTTACTCTCTGTTTATTCACTAATAAGCTGTAATATTTTTCATCTCTGAGAGTTATGTGTTGACACGACAAAGATAATTATCTTAATGCAGGAAACTGCATCTTGCGGAATACTTCAACAGAGACGCATCACGTCTGGCAGACGAGACAACAGTGACGTAATAAACAGCTTCACGATAAGGCAGCTTATTGGTGGTTGTAGCTGGCGTCTTCGTTAATTAATGAGGAGAGCGAGATTCCTTGCTTGTGCTACGGGGCCTCCTGTGTGTGTGTGTGTGTGTGTGTGTGTGTGTGTGTGTGTGTGTGTGTGTGTGTGTGTGTGTGTGTGTGTATGTGTATGTGTGTGTGTGTCTTTACCTGCCTTTGACTGCATGAGAACGACTAATGAGACGCCTTGTGTACGTGTGTGTCCGCATAGTGGACACTGTCATACCTAGTCTTCAAACTTTGTCTACAGTTTGCCTCCTCTACAATAAAGTGTTGCCGTGTCATTAAAATAGGTTTTATTGAAAAACAAAATATAATCGAACTTAATTCTAATATATATATATAATATATATATATTATATATATATATAATATATATAATATTATATATATATATATATAAATATATAATGTCGTGCCGAATAGGTAGAACTTGCCATCTTGGCTTAAATAGCAACGCTCATCTTGCCATATAGGACAAGCGAAAATTTGTGTATGCAATAATTTCGCCCAAATCATTCTAAACCTAAAGAAAAAAATATATTTCACTGTTTGTTTAGTATTAAATTATTGTAAACAAATCTAAAATATATTTAGTTGGGTTAGGCTAAAATAAATTGTTCTTATTATAATAAGGTTAGGTAAGTTTTCTAAGATTCTTTTGGTGCAAAATTAAAAATTTTTACATTAACATAAATGAAAAAAATATATCTTTAAACGTATAAAAGAAAATTTTAGAAAGGACTTAATTTTAAATGAGTTCTTGCTAATTGACCAGTTTTACATATTCGGCACGACATATATATATATATATATATATATATATATATTAGTAATACATCGGCCGCTTCCCACCAAGGTTGGGTGACCCCAAAAGAAGGAACACTTTCACCATCATTCACTCCATCACTGTCTTGCCAGAGGCGTGCCTACACTACAGTTATAAAACTCGAACATCAGCACCCCTCCTTCGGACTGCAGGCACTGTACTTCCCATCTCCAGGACTCAAATCGGCCGGCCGGTTTCCCTGAATCCCTTCAGAGATTCACTCTCCAGCAGCACGTCAAGTTATAAAGACCATTTGTCTGTACTCGCTCCTATTTAACATGCTCATGCGCACTTGCTGGAAATCTAAGCCCCTCGCACACAAAACCTCCGCTAACCCCTCCCTCTAACCTTTTTTTAGGATGAGCCCTACCCCACCATCCTTCCACTACAGATTTATATGCTCTCCAAGTTATTCTATTTCGTTACATCCCCTAGAAATTTCGGAATCACCTCAACAACCCCTCCTGAGCCCTCTGGACAATTCTTTTAGTAACCCAGCCCCTTATCCTAATTCCCAAACTGCGGATTCTCTGCACTGTATTCACACCACATATTGCCCTCAGACACATCTCCACTGCCTCCAGCCTTCTCCTTGTTACAGCATTCACCACTCATGCTTCAGATCCATAAAAGAGCGTTGGTATAACTATAATCTCATACATTCTCCTTTTTGCTTCCATGGATAACGTTCTTTGTCTCCACAGACTCCAAAGTGCACCACTCGCCTTTTCTCCCATCAATTCTATGAGTCACCCCATCTTTCATAGACCCATCCGCTGACACGTCCACTCCCAAATATCTGAATACGTTCACCTCCTCCATACTCTCTCCCTCCAATCTGATATTCAATCTTTCATCACCTAATCTTTTGTTATCCTCATAACCTTACTCTTTCCTGTATTCACCTTTAATTTCTCTTTTTGCACACCCTACCAAATTCATCCACCAATCTCTGCAACTTCTCTTCAGAATCTCCCAAGAGCACAGTGTCATCAGCAAAGAGCACTGTGACAACTCCCACTTTGTGTGTGATTCTTTATCTTTTAACTCCACGCCTCTTGCCAAGACCCTCGCATTTACTTCTCTTACAACCCACATCTATAAATATATTAAACAACCACGGTGACATCACACATCCTTGTCTAAGGCCTACTTTACTGGGAAAAAATTTCCCTCTTTCCTACATACTCTAACTTGAGCCTCACTATCCTCATAAAAACTCTTCACTGCTTTCAGTAACCTACCTCCTACACCATACACTTGCAACATCTGCCACATTGCCCCCCTATCCACCCTGTCAAAAACGCCTTTTCCAAATCCATAAATGCACAAAGACCTCTTTAGCCTTATCTAAATACTGTTCACTTATATGTTTCACTGTAAACACCTGGTCCACACACCCCCTACCTTTCCTAAAGCCTCCTTGTTCATCTGCTATCCTATTCTCCGTCTTACTCTTAATTCTTTCAATTATAACTCTACCATACACTTTACCAGGTACACTCAACAGACTTATCCCCCTATAATTTTTGCACTCTCTTTTATCCCCTTTGCCTTTATACAAAGGAACTATGCATGCTCTCTGCCAATCCCTAGGTACCTTACCCTCTTCCATACATTTATTAAATAATTGCACCAACCACTCCAAAACTATATCCCCACCTACTTTTAACATTTCTATCTTTATCCCATCAATCCCGGGTGCCTTACCCCCTTTCATTTTACCTACTGCCTCACGAACTTCCCCCACACTCACAACTGGCTCTTCCTCACTCCTACAAGATGTTATTCCTCCTTGCCCTATACACGAAATCACAGCTTCCCTATCTTCATCAACATTTAACAATTCCTCAAAATATTCCTTCCATCTTCCCAATACCTCTAACTCTCCATTTAATAACTCTCCTCTCCTATTTTTAACTGACAAATCCATTTGTTCTCTAGGCTTTCTTAACTTGTTAATCTCACTCCAAAACTTTTTCTTATTTTCAACAAAATTTGTTGATAACATCTCACCCACTCTCTCATTTGCTCTCTTTTTACATTGCTTCACCACTCTCTTAACTTCTCTCTTTTTCTCCATATACTCTTCCCTCCTTGCATCACTTCTACTTTGTAAAAACTTCTCATATGCTAACTTTTTCTCCCTTACTACTCTCTTTACATCATCATTCCACCAATCGCTCCTCTTCCCTCCTGCACCCACTTTCCTGTAACCACAAACTTCTGCTGAACACTCTAACACTACATTTTTAAACCTACCCCATACCTCTTCGACCCCATTGCCTATGCTCTCATTAGCCCATCTATCCTCCAATAGCTGTTTATATTCTTACCCTAACTGCCTCCTCTTTTAGTTTATAAACCTTCACCTCTC